CCAACGTGCTGCTGATAGAGGTTGGTCTTTTTGTGGGGTGTTAACCTGCACTATAGAACATCATGAGGTGTCGTGTCGAACTGCGTGTGGACGAGGTCTCTGAAAACAAAACATACTGCACCAGTGCAAAGATGACACCAGACCAGCAAAGCAGAGCCTTTGGTATTAATGTGGTCAGCCAGACACTTTTAATTTGAATTTTTTAACAATAATCATAGAACCTGATCGCTGTCAAATGATTTAAGTACACCAAAGAGGTCTGTAGCTCTGCAGACCTGCACTCCCTCCAATTCTGCTGCTCAGAAACAAAATAAAATTAACCTTAAAAAAAATTAATAATAATAATAATAAAATGGGGGGGGGGGGCATACAGCGTCACTCTTACCAAATGTCACTCTCCCCCTGTGAGTAAGTGCTTGGTGGAAAGAGAGAAAAGGAACAGACAAAAATAGTAATCTCAAGATTGCTTGTAAAATTACTTATAAATGTAGATAATATTTGTATATAGGTAGATAAAGTTTGGTTGATTTAAGGGGGATAGCAAGAACTTAAAGGTCAATACAATCAGAAGGTCTTAGCTCACTAGCTAGGTCAACAGAGAACCGGTTATACATGCACTAAAGTAAAAGAAGAGAGAATTGAGATCATATCCAAATCTGAAACTACCCAATGAGTCTCTGATGCCAGATTGATTTTTTCTTTTTAAATAAAATGGCTAATTGACATTATTGCACATGAGCAAAAGACAGTAATACTATTAGAGCTCTGTTCATTGACCCGCTTCTCCTCTTCAACAGAGCGTCCTGAAGCACTTCAAAACATTCAGAAACCTGGTGACGTACGATGGTAAGGATGTTTCATCAACAGCGACCAAAACGAAAAAAAAACCCAAGCACTGGATAAAAACCTTGATGTGAGGACAGAGGAGACAACCAGCAGAGATGAAGGTACAACACTTACATCATTGTGCTATAATGTACAGTAAATGGCTGCATAAGTGCTTTTTCTTAAGCTTGAAGGAAAAACAAACAACGTATTTATTGTTGAGGCATCATTTAAAGTTGGCCTGTGCTATCCATTCGGGGTGCCCATGTAAAATCCCAAAGGGTGGGAAGCGGGAGAGTAATGTTTGAGGACATAAAAAAATAGCGGTGACGATGTTACCCCTCGGACTCTGTCGTTTCAAAGATCACTGCTACATTAAAACTGCATCATGTGCAACATCAGGAAAAGGCTTTGAAGAAGATTCCTCTGCACTCTGCTCCGTCTCGCTTTTTTCTTTGTTTTATTTGGGGGGGGTTGTTTTTTTTACATGTTTGCCGCCTCGTTATTGGTGTCGATTGGCAGTGTCCAGGTCCAATAACATGGCAGAGTGATTCAGTAAAACACCGTAGTTGCAGTGAGGTTATTTAGGGGAGTCACTCTGGAGGAGGCTGACAGTCTGCGTCTCTCAGGGGCTTCTGCGCCCACTCGCGCTCACACGGGCCCGTTGACCGACACTTCCTGGGGCGGTGGCGTTTCCTCTCTGTTGGGACGACAAAAGAAACAGTCAGCTGCGTGCAGGAGACACACGATGCACGTCCAGCACTACATGCTGTTAGCCTGCAGTCTGTCTGCCTCTGTAAGGAACAGGCTGCTGCTGTCAAGCGTGTGAGTAAGTAACATTTCTTTGTTTCCCATTTCAACCACAAAGCTGAACCAGCACTGATAACCCTGAGCTCCACTTCTGAGAGTGGCGTCTCCGATTATTCCCCAAATGCACAAACGCTGACACATTCACCTCCACTAACATGAATGCAGTGCTCTACATTTAGTGTGAATGCACCAACTAAATAGACTCCTGGGATACAAACATACTTTAACTAAACGTACTTAACCACAAAGATGTGTTTTTAATCAGAAAGTGTGATCGAGTTAACTGATTTCATGATTTCATGGAGGCCATGTGTCTGTTTTACACAACAACATGTTACAAGTACTCCAGCAGTGGCCTCTGCAGGCACTCAGCAGACTCCTGCTGGAGTCTACATTCAAAATGTGCAGCCCACTGCTGAACGGCGTTGGCTCGTCTGTGAGCGTGTACAAGCGACTTCACTTTCACATATACAATCCTGCTGTGTGCTAAAGCATTATGTACTATTACATATAGCCCCATATTTACTGACCTGCTTTACTTCGTCACTACTGTTGTGCAGCATCACATTTTCTTAGCAAACCCATGATGCATTGCGCTGCAAATGCAGGATAACTGTGCAGTTTTACATGCAAAGAAATGCACTAGGAGCCGTTTCGTCTTTCTACCAAACTACATCTGCCAACACTGTGATGAGAGGCTGATGCTCGAGGCAGCAGGAAGGAGAGAAATACTCATGTCTCCCCAGCTGAGCTCGCGCACTGACATGCTTCTTAATCTGTCTCTCTTCCACAGCATGTCTGTATCCTGTCTTCCTTCTCTCACCCCAACCAATCACAGCAGATGGCCCCGCCCCTCCCTGAG